AATTAGGTGGCCGCTTCGCTTACCCGGCCGCTTCGCTTGCCGCTCACGTTAACGAAAATTACAGTTCACATTATATCGAAGTTTGCTCTATATTTTCTCTATATCTTATATTTTGTCACAGCAATGTCAAGACAGGTACTTAGAATGGTTGTATCATGAGAAGATAGAGTGTATACTGTGACAAAAACCAAGAAAGAATGCACATTATGTATCCTAGACGTAATGCTTTTGTATATTTCTCTCGAATTAGTCGCTAGGGCGTTGGTAAGGCGGTAGATGCGTCACGTTTAGAGACATTTATTCCGTCCTGCATCACTACAGGCCTGGCCACGTCGACGCGCATCGGGTCTTAATTACCCGGCCCAACTTGCAGTGGAACATTTGCACTTAACATGGCTGCAGTTGCTCTACAGCAATGCGGCTAACATTCTGGATGCGCATGGAGCGACATTCGCCCTGTCTGAGGCCGGGTGCGATACCGTTGCCAGACTAGGAATACAACACAGCAAGCCTGTCTCAGCTCAGGGACAAGCACAAAGCAGTAATTGGTCATGGTGATATATATGCAAACTTCTCTCTGTATGGATACTGTAAAGCAGCGCAATAGCAAAGTTTGACTATGCATAGGTGTAATGCGGCTTCTGTCATACATGATTTTTGTTCTGTTATTACTTGCAGAAATGCGCGCTTTCCCATACTGCAAGACTTATTTTTTTAGTTCCGAAACAGTTCGTTAGAAGATCGCCTCGATATTCTACAATGTCAGCTTCACTTTTTTCTCCGATACGGCGTCGCGAGTCCTCCACCTACTCTTGCGCCCTGCATATTCCATTCCGCTGCACTCGCCGCCCCAGCTCTATCCTCTGATACATCGTAGGTGCCAAGATTTCTTTCTTTGAAATCATTCCACCGCTCATGAATAGTCTTCTTTTTGCGGTCTGCCCGTCGCTGAGCATCCAAATCGACATAGCCAGAACCGAGGATTGCCGCGATGGTACTTGCGGGCGCACCGGCGCTACATTGATCTATATCTTTACTCCGTAACCCAGTTGAAATGAATTGGCCGTCGGGGTATTTTGGTGGCTGTGCTGATGGCTCAGAGTCGTAGTAGGTGGGTAGTGTAGCGTCAAGATTGACGTTATCCCTTTTGACTTTGGTATCGGCGTGACTCATGTCTGGCTTTTCGATGCGCTGACTGTAATTCGATTCTTTGCCTATATCATGACTCATGGGAAATTCCGCAAACGGCCTGTTGATTTCGCATTCTGGTAAATATAACGGTAGCTTTGTGCATAGTCATACCGAAAGTTTGAGGGGGAGATTTAACAGTGCCAATGCTTGGCGAGTCCCCAGTAACTGCAGCACTGACGTAAGGTTGGATGATTTGCTAGAGAAAAGCCCCTCTACACATACGCCAAGGTTGCATGGGAAGGATAAGACTCCCACAATACATGACCTACTGTGCCGTACTCCCGATCTCGCAGCCACAGGACTTATTTCATTTCATCTGTTTTCCAGTTCATCAATGTGTAGAGTTGCAGTATCGAATGATATCCCAGGGTAGATATATTCAGCTAATGCTAATTATACTTCCTGGAAATTGTGTTAGCTACAGGCATGGTTCTACAAACGAACGTTGTAATATTTTTTCTATATCCAAGGTAATCAAAAGAAGTGCATTGAAGGCTACAATGATCATGCATAAATAGCTTAACTTTACCGATCATCAGAATAGAGCACGCCACTACTCTATCACTTCCCGGGAATGAGTTCGTTTGCGTTCCTTAAGATCCATCCATGTCAGCATTACCAATGGCACATTACTATCTTTCGTCAGTACGGGTTGCCTCTATACTGTCATGTGAGCTTTTCTCCACTTTACAAGTTTTGGTCGACAACAATGAAGACATGGATCATACCTACAACTGGAGGAACACTGTTGATTCGATCAGATGCAGTCGATAATTAATAACAAATAAAGTTGAATAGTTTTGTGTGACAGTAGCTGTAATAAAAGATGGATGGTTGATTGTACTACGGAAAAGCAGCATATTTTAATCGATTGGAATAAAAGAATCTAACGTGTTTTACCTACAAGCGAGCGGGCCATACAAGCGAGCGGGCCACCCCACCAACTTTGCGCACCTCTCTAACTCTGATCA